CCGTGTGGATTAACAGAAGTAGAAAAGAGCTGTCCTCTTTGGATAAAAAAAGATGCACACGTATGTATACGGTCGCCATGTCACAGTTGCAACCGATCACAAGCCGATTATGTCTGTATTTTCAAAGCCTTCACAATCGACACGGTTAGAAAGAATTGCATTGCGAGCCCAAGATTATGGTTTCACATTGGTTCATGAGCCTGGAGCAAATAACATTGCTGATAGATGGTCAAGGCTGCCAGCAGAACCAAGTGATGAGAAGACAAAGTTTATAGTAGATCATGTACAGTTTGTTGAAAACGAGATGGAGTTACTTACACTTCAAGAAATTTGTGAAGAAGGCAAGAAGGATGAAGAACTCAAAATGGTTGCTTCAGCAATTGAAAAAAGATGGGACGATGCGGAAAATAAGGACCTGACAAGGTTGCAACACATTAAGACAGAATTGTCATATGCACAAGGAATATTGTGGCATGGTAGGTTTGGCACATGATGCCCAAGAGGAATTGTCAGAACTAAACAGAGGCTACGAGCAAAAGCATTTTGGCCGAAGAATTCTGTCCAACTGTGACAGTGACATTTTGATAGTGGTTGACTATTAGAGTAAATGGCCAGGAGCAAGCATCTTAACGAACATTACTTCCAAGGACATTGTCAAATGCCTCACAGAGAGCTTCGCACACTTTGGCAATCCGAAGACAATAATAACAGACAATGGACGTCAGTTCACTTCAAAAGAGTTTGAGCTTTTTCTGAAGAACAATGGGATCAAGCATTATACCTGATAGATACACAAATACCTGAAACATGGCTTGAGAGCTGCAGAAATACATGGAATAACGTGGACTGAAGCATTGCCTGGATTTTTTTCAGATCAACAACTCATGCAGGTACAGGCATGAGCCCAGCAAAGTTAATGTTGAATCGTGAAATCACAACAAAACTGTCAGCGGTGCAAGTGGAAGAGATAGAGTTGGAAGAACGTTGTCAAGGATATCAAGATAAAATGAAGGACTATGCAGATGAAAAGAGGAGTGCTGGGCAGCATGAATTAGAGATTGGGGATGTGGTGTTTGTGACTTACATGAGTGATGCCAAGTTAAACATTTGAATTGGTATATGCTTAATGTTACCAAGTGGTTACCAAGATGGCGTGTAGCTCAATCCACTTCCATCCTGTGTCAATATACTACAGACACAAAATTTTCTGAAAACAGCATATTGAATTACTTTAGTATTACCTTAGTATTATTTTCA